TGGTGGCAGCAAGCACTAAACCAGTAGGAGCTGCTTCTCCCCTGGGGGTTGCCTGTCCACCACAGACACCAGGGTGAAGACCTGGGCCACTCTGTGCAGTGTAGGGTGCTGGCCAAGACCTTGTGCTCTGCAACTGGCCTGCCTGGGTTTAAACCGCAGTTGTTTTAAACCATGCCTGGGTTTAAACCCCGGTAAATCCACTTACTAGATGTGTGACCTTGGGCCGGTCACTTAACATTTCAGTGCCTCTGTTTCCCCACCTGTAAAATGGAGGTGATAATAACAGGACCTACTTCTTGGGGTTATTGTAAGGATTGAATGAGTTGAGACCTGCAAGGCTCGGAGAACAGCGTGTGGCACATTGTAAGTGCTCAACAAACGTTAGCAGCTATTGTCATATTTGTTCTGAAAAGGTTAGCAAGATCTTAGGTTGGAATTTTTTTGGGCCTCCTGCCTAGTGAGGACAAATATAGTTCGTTACCTGTGATGGAAGTGCTCCCAGAGTTACCAGAAAGGGGACCTCTTCCAGGGTCCGAGAGTGGGCTCTTGTCTAACACTCGGAAATGAATTGTCCAAGGAGACACATGTCCTGACAAAGCAAAAGACTCTACTGGGAAGGGGCGCTGGGTGGAGAGCAGCGGGTAAGGGAGCCCAGGAGAACTGCTCTGCTATGTGGCTGTGGCTCGTAGTCTAGGGTTTATAGTGGTGGGGTTAGCTTTCCGGGTTGTCTCTGGACAGTCGTCTTGCTAGTGCCCATATTTGGTCTGACGCAGGTCCTTCCTGGTGGCGCACATCTCTCGGTCGACGTGGATTCTAGCGTGAGGGTTTCTGGGAGGTTGGCAGGACATATTATGGGCTGGCATCTCCTCCCTCCTTTTGTTACCAACCAGGGTTCTTGGCCTTCCCCAATCAATACAAGTTGACTAGGGGCCAGACAAGAAATTCAGGCAAGGCTTTACTGGGGCCCCTGCTGCAGTGGGGGAGCGAGAACAAACCACAGGTTCCCTTGCTTTCTCGCTCCCCCAAAGGGGGCAAGTTTGTTCCTTATACGGGATGAGGGTAGTGGTGCGTCCAGGGGTCGGGCCAGAAGGGTGGCTTAGGTGTTTTGCCCACCCCTTAGGTGGTGTTGTGTGCAGGGGTCATGCGCAGTACCTTGCTTTTGCTCCTGACACCCTATTTTTGTTCCAGGCTCTTCAAAGGTGGCAGTTGGGTTTTTTGGTCTCTGTATCTTTTGGGTCCAGAATTTGCCCCAACTGGGCATGCACACAGCTATTTTTAATGCCATGTAGTTTCTTTGTATTTTGTTGCTGGAGGAGAGGTGTGTCCATGTGCAAGCATTGCAGCACTGCAGCAAAGGGTTCCAGGTCCCAGCCTGTCTCACTTTTGGCCCCTCCCAAATTCTCCCAGCTAGTTTTCAGCAGCAGCGCTGCCTTCCTTACTGGGACCTCCTGTTGTGAGACAACTCATGCAAAGGGTTATTATGGTGCTTGGCCAGGGTGGGCAGTTTCAGTCAATGGTTCCCTAGCATTAGGAGACCTGGGTTCCAGTTCAGACACTGCCATGAATTTGCTGTGTGACCTTTAGAGAAACATTTCCATCTCTGGGCTCAGGATGGTCAGCTGTGCAACAAAGGCAACATGCCCGTGAGATCTCTTTAACTGCTGACCTCTTCCGTTGTTCCCTTGGCGTGTCTTTGCTCTGTATCCTGATGTGGGTGAGCCGTGGACCAGCCTCAAGCACCAGGACAGTGGAGGAGCTTGGCAGGTATCTGTGGGTTTGAATCCTTCCTCCCCCTGCTGTCTGGCAGATGAACGAGGAAGTCCTGGGTCCACAGTGAGGTGCAATCTGTTGTGATGCAGCTGCCGTCTTGAAATTCTTCCTAAATTTTGAACAAGGTGCCCTGCATTTTCATTTTGCACTGGATCCTGCAGATTATGTAGTGGATCCTGGTTTAGATTCACGTGCCTGAGTCCTATGTCCATTCATCGAGCTGCGTATGGGGGACAGCCAGCCACACCCAGACCACATCGACCAAGAGCGGGAAGAACTGGCTCGCTAAAGGCAAATCGAAGCGTTGTAACCAAGAGAAGGGAATGATTGCTACGTGGGCAAAATTAGACAGGTGTCCATACCAACATGGAAGTGGGAAAGTTCCAAGGATGTGGGGAAACTCTGTGCTGTCCAGTCTGAACCTCCACAGTGTGTGTGTCTCTGTGGAGAGCATCACACAACCGTATTAGTAATACTCAACCCTTTCCCATGCCAGGCACTGTGCTAAGCATGTTGTATGCACTATCTCGTTTCATCCTCAGAGTGACCCTATGACATGAGTATTATTAACCTATCGCTAATAATAAGTATGATTAAGTTAATGATTATTAAGTCAATAGTAAGTATTATTAACTTAGTGTTAAGAGACATTGTCTCTTCCACCTGTAATGGGACAACCAGCTAAGGAGTGCCACCCACACTCCCTCGATGGACACAGTGCATTGAGAAGTTCCCCCAACCCCGTGTTCCCGGCAGCCCTGTGCCTCCCCTTCACGGTCCCCATCGCTCCACTGCAACGGGCTGTTACCTGTGTCTCCTCCACACATGGTGAGCTGGAGGCATACTGATTCCACCGTGGGCACAGAACTTGGCTCCTATCAGTAAAGGTGATAAGGACAGAGAATAAAGAAAGACAGAAGGAAATGCAGACGTTTAAAGGGCTCAACATGGGAATTCCCTGGCAGTCCAGTGGTTAGGAACTGAAATCCCACAAGCCGCATGGTGTGGCCAAAGAAAAGAAAGGACTTGACGGGGAGAACGTGAGGTAGAAGGAAGCCAAGTTCGAGGAAGTTCAGAAGGTAAACACCCTAGGTGTGCACATGAAATAAAGTTACATCAGCAAGGATGGAAAAATGCTTACAAATGAAGACCAGCGGAAAGAAACAGACCTAACTGCATCAGATTGATGACAGAACTTTGTACAATTTAGTGGAATATAATCTTATATTTGCATGTAGGCATGCTGATGGTGGTGCTGATGTAGTCATTCCAGTACTGTTTTGTGAGTAATGTATGTAGGTTAAAGCAAATATATTGTATGGGGTAGCAATAATTCTCACACAGTGTGAGAGAAGGGAGATGAAGATATGGAATGGGGAAGAAAAGAAGAACCCCATGCTGATGTAGATGAGGAGCATGAGCTCTCTGTCTCTCTGTCTCTTTCTCCTCTAAGGGCATGGAAGCAATGATATTACAGTACAAATCAACACACTTAGCCACCAGATCCTGATATCTAAATACCATTCCCCATTAAAAAATAAACCTGAGCTTCTTAGAGAAGTGGCTGATTCCACGTATGGGGCAGAAAAATTACAAGGTGAGCCTGGAAACTCTGGTTGTCCCAGAAAGCATGGAGGTGCTTAAGAGCTACTGGAGACATAGCTGAGGGACTCCCATTAGCTGAGTCTGAGGTCACTGAGCGTCCAAAAGAATAATGGTGGTGATGCCTCATAACATAATTGAATAAACTAAACATCGTGGGTCCACGGGGATAACGAAAGGTTAAGGGTGCCACTCAGAGGTGCACCGCTCAGCCTCAGGCCTCCCTCTTGTCAAGCAGGCATAAAGGGATAGTTTGAAAGAACCTGGGGAGACAAAGGTGAGGAACAGTTCTGCATACATAATATTATGAAGTAGAGACTTCATGGTGAGAGAGGAGGCATGAAGCATTTTTCTAAAATGGGAAATTGCACTTAAATTCCAGATTTCCCACTTCCCCCAGGCAATCTGACCACTTCCCACGTGGTAACAAACAGCTGGACGGAGCAGAAGTCTTTAGGCGGGCTCCAGAGTCCCTGCCAGTCCTGGCCCCCTTCAGGATGTGTCACCTGCCTGATCCCTGAAAGCATCTGCATTTATGACCACTAGTTACTAATGAAACTTAAAAGCTTTTGCACAGCAAAGGAAACCGTAAATAAGACCGAAAGACAACCCTCAGAATGGGAGAAAATATTTGCAAATGGAGCAACTGACAAAGGATTAATCTCCAAAATTTACAAGCAGCTCATGCAGCTCAGTATCAAAAACTCAAACAACCCAATCCAAAAATGGGCAGAAGACCTAAATAGACATTTCTCCAAAGAAGATATACAGATTGCCAACAAACACATGAAAGAGTGCTCAACATCATTAATCATTAGAGAAATGCAAATCAAAACTACAATGAGATATCATCTCACACCGGTCAGAATGGCCATCATCAAAAAATCTACAAACAATAGATGCTGGAGAGGGTGTGGAGAAAAGGGAACACTCTTGCACTGCTGGTGGGAATGTGAATTGGTACAGCCACTATGGAGAACAGTATGGAGGTTCCTTAAAAAACTACAAATAGAATTACCATATGACCCAGCAATCCCACTACTGGGCATATACCCTGAGAAAACCATAATTCAAAAAGAGTCATGTACCAAAATGTTCACTGCAGCTCTATTTACAATAGCCAGGAGATGGAAACAACCTAAGTGTCCATCATCAGATGAATGGATAAAGAAGATGTGGCACATATATACAATGGAATATTACTCAGCCATAAAAAGAAATGAAATTGAGTTATTTGTAGGTGGATGGACTTAGAGTCTGTCCTACAGAGTGAAGTAAGTCAGAAAGAGAAAGACAAATACCGTATGCTAACACATATGTATGGAATCTAAGAAAAAAAAATGTTATGAAGAACCTAGGGGTAAGATGGGAATAAAGACACAGACCTACTAGAGAATGGACTTGAGGATACAGGGAGGGGGAAGGGTAAGCTGGGACAAAGTGAGAGAGTGGCATGGACATATATACACTACCAAACGTAAAACAGATAGCTAGTGGGAAGCAGCCGCATAGCACAGGGAGATCAGCTCGGTGCTTTGTGACCACCTAGAGGGGTGGGATAGGGAGGGTGGGAGGGAGGGAGACGCAAGAGGGAAGAGATATGGGAACATATGTATGTGTATAACTGATTCACTTTGTTATACAGCAGAAACTAACACACCATTGTAAAGCAATGATACTCCAATAAAGATGTAAAAAAAAAAATTTCTCTTTCTTAGACCTAGAGCATCCAGCCACCACTACGTGTCATGCAGATGCCTCTTCTTTATCTCCCATTCTGGGGAAGAGTAAGTTGTCATTATCATGCAGAACAGGAAGAGGAGCAGATAGAATTGGAGTGCGACCTTTCCCGAGAGACAAGGAGTAGAGTTTTCCAAAAAGTCAGTGGAAGTCTTCCTGGTTCATGTATGAAGAGGGCGGCTCTTTTGAAGGGAGGCCAAATGTAATGATGGGGTGGAGTTGAGAAGCAGTGTTAGGACCTAGGAGAAGGGTTTGAGTTCTGAGATGCTGCAAAAGACATTGGGGGTTGTCCACCCCATAGTTACCCTACCCTTATGACTAATAGAACCCCAGTTTCGTTCAGGCAACAATATGCACAACCACAGAGAGTGAACCACAATTGGCCTTAGCCAAATTGGCAACTCCTTTGCTTGTGATGGGTCAGGACATGGGCCTGGATCCAGTTCTGTCCAGTGAGACAGAAGGTGTCTGCTGAAGCGTTCTGGGAAGGATTTCCTCCAAGATAAGAGATTCATGTGATACAAAAGCTCCCTTTGCCATTGTCCTTGTGGCTTCCTGTTGTGGATCTATCATGTGAAGAAGTGATGACTGGAACTGCAACAGACATCTTGCCACCCCTGAAAAAAAAACAGAAACTCAAAAGCCAACATCTAAGGAAGGTTGAATAGAAGGATGAGAAGAGCATGGGTCTTGATGAAGTGTTGATGGACAAACAAACTCTAGGCTGCCCTGTATCCTGTTCCCATGAACTAGGGGAAACATCGTGTTTGGTATACAGCTTACGTCTTCCACCTTTAATGATTCCATCCTTCAAAAAGCATGGTGGGGGTGGAGAATCTAGGGACAAGGCAGTAAGGGAAGTATGGCCTGGTCCATATTCACACCTCTACTGATGCCCATGGAGAAGTGGCAGCGTCCTATTGGGATGAGGGGTCCAAGAGTCCTAAACAATGATGAGCAAAAAGATGAGTGGTCACCCTCAGGGCTGCTGGAAGTTGTAGGGGAGTCATGGCTCCAGGAAACACTGCCAAACATACAACTTGGAAAGAACTTAAGAGGAAAACATCCTCCTTCCCAGTGGGAGTGACCTTGAAATATGAGGGAGGGAGGCTGATGATGCAAGTTGTAAGAAAGTATGAAGTTATTAGCATGCAGTGCTCTACCTATAGAGCACGGTAAGCCATGCCAGAGAACCTAAGTTTCAGGCATGATCACCTGAGGAAGAAACATGACGTTTGATCAAAGCCCATTTTGATCAAAAGCATCCTGTGTGAGCTACTTGGTGACTTGCTGGTCTGTGTTAGTTTCTTTTCCTATTTCGACATAAATGTATGTTCTTATTCAGGGCTCATTGGTGGATCACAGTAGGGTCATTTAGGTCCAATTAAACAGTTTGATCTTTTTTTTCCTCTCTCTTTCTCTTGGGCCCCTGCCAATATACTGCCATTTTAATTATGGAAACACTGAGGTCTAAAAAATTATATTAGCCAATTATCTTCGTACGCATGGCAATAAGTGGCAGAGCTAAGATACGAACCAAGATCTATGTGTCTTCTTTCCTCCTGTAACATTTTGCCTCTTTGACAATACATTTTAACATAAAAGTTTGTCCAAGGTCAGAGGAGCTCAGATCCAACTTCCTCTTGTTAACTCTTCTCAACAGGTAACACAAGTCTGCTTATCTGAGGTTTTATGGGCAATTCCTTAACTTACTTCAATAGCATGCTTTGTGCATAATAGCTGCTCATCACATGATTTGTGGGTATTACTCAGACTTAATAGCAGAAGTTTGAGGCACAACAGAAGGACAGAGATTGGGGGGTTCCTTTATTATTTTCCAAATCATGCCCTTCCTTCCTTCCGTGCTCCAGTCATTTCTCGAATACCTCCTATGTGCCATTTACCATAAAACAGCTCACTGCCAGAGATGATATAAGCTAGTAATGGTTAAGAGCATGGCCTCTGGAGCAAGACTGTTTAGGTTTGAAACTTTGCTCTGTCACTTGCTAGTTGTGTGATCTCCAGCAAGTTTCTTAATACTTCGTGCCTAGGTTTCACTATCAGTAAACATAAAATAAGTTTATCATAGAACCTACCTTATAATGTTGTTATGAGGAATCACGTAGGCAATAAATGTATTATTTGTAGACTAGTACCTAGTAAGCAGCCAGTAGATTTTAAATGTTATTACTCTGTCTACCTGTAACTTGGCCTTGAATAAGAGAGGTCAGCTTCACGTCCCAGTCTCCACCTCGACTGGAATCCAAAGCAGTGTGTCCATCTCCCTCCTGCTCCCCTTTATCAAAACCCACCCTCTCTTTCTGCCCACTCTCTTCTGCAGGAAATCCCATTTCCCCCAATACCCCCTTGCTCTTTGTCCCCATTCAGCATCTATCCCCCGAATCTACCACCAAGGTTCATCCGCCCAGAGAAGACTTCACCACCTAGATCTCAGCCAGTCTTCATCTTTTTCCTGAACTCCAAAAGCACCTGTTGTCAGAGCCCTGTCCTGCCTGCCTGTGTGCCAACCTGTTCTGTGGCTGCCTTGTCACATCACACAGACTGTGAGTCATGCCATGGGGTGCAGGGCGTGGGAACGTGTCCCATGTCTTCCTCTGAATTGCCCCCCACACACACACCTGTGTACGTAATCAGTGCCCATCAGAGCCTGCTAGATGCCTGGCTAACATCATTCGATCCTGCACCTCCCCTCTGATCTTCACTCCACTCCCACTCTATCCTAATCACCAAATTCTCCTTCTCTGTCTCTCTCTCCTTTTTGAGGGGGGCTGCGCTGCGCGGCTTGCAGAATCTTAGTTCCCTGACCAGGGATCGAAGCCGGGCCCCCTGCAGCGGAAGCGTGGAGTCCTAACCACTGGACCACCAGGGAAGTCCCTCCTCTCTGGATGTATCTTTCATCAGCCCACAGACATGCTCCAGAATCAGCAGACTTAAAAAAAAAAAAAAAAAAAAGGAAAAGCAAACCAAGAACCCTTCCTTAACAACACATCCCTTTCCAACTCCTGTTCCATTGCTCTGCTTTTGTCTATAGCCAACCTGATTGAAAAACTTGACTGTTCTTGTCTCCGGTGACTCTCAGACTTTTTGACCATGACCCACAGTAAGAAATGCATTTTACGAAGCAGCCCAGGGCACACACAGTGTGTAAGCACACACACTCTCACACAAGCACCCACACTCACACACATGCACTGGCATACACCCAGTCACACATAAACACACATATGAAATAGAAACAAATATTTCAGAAAACATTACTCATGGAATATACACTGAGATTTTCTATTCCATTCAATGCTATGTTATGCCATTTCATTAAAAAACAAAACAAAACTGGCTTCTATAGACTGAATGTGTCCCCCCACCCTACCTGCTGCCACCAAATTCCTATGTTGAGACCTAATCCCCAATGTGATGATATTTGGAGGTGGGGCCTTTGGGAGGTGATTAGGTCATGAGGGTGGAGCTCTCAGGAATGGGATTAGTGTCTGTTTTTTTTTTTTTACATCTTTATTGGAGTATAATTGCTTTACAATGGTGTGTTAATTTCTGCTGTATAACAAAGTGAATCAGTTATACATATACATATGTTCCCATATCTCTTCCCTCTATGCGTCTCCCTCCCTCCCACCCTCCCTATCCCACCCCTCTAGGTGGTCACAAAGCACCGAGCTGATCTCCCTGTGCTATGCGGCTGCTTCCCACTAGCTATCTGTTTTACGTTTGGTAGTGTATATATGTCCATGCCACTCTCTCACTTTGTCCCAGCTTACCCTACCCCCTCCCCGTGTCCTCAAGTCCATTCTCTAGTAGGTCTGTGTCTTTATTCCCATCTTACCCCTAGGCTCTTCATAACATTTTTTTTTCTTAGAGTCCATATATATGTGTTAGCACACGGTATTTGTCTTTCTCTTTCTGACTTACTTCACTCTCTATGACAGACCGGGATTAGTGTCTTTATAGCAGAAGCTTGAGAGAGCTCCCTCACTTCTTCCTCGGGGTGTGGAAGGCATCTTCTCCATTTGAGAAGAAAACTGTATACCAGAAGGTGGCCCCTCACCAGACACTGACTGCCAGCGCCTTGATCTCAGAAGTCCAGCCTCCAGAACTGTGAGAAATAAATTTCTGTTGTTTATGAGCCACCCAGTTAATGGCGTTTTTCTTGTAACAGCCTGAACAGACTAAGACACTGGCCTAAACTGTTGCTTCACTTCCTTTCTCCTATTAACTTTTTGACATTGAGAAATGTTTAAATATATTAAAGTTCAAAGGACAGTATAATAAACTTTGTTGTTACCACTTAGCATTTACAAATGTTAACACTGTCATATGTCCTTCAGATTTATAAACATGCCCCCTACACTCCCACCTCCCATTTCCCTTTCTTCCTCTTTGGAGGCAGGAATTGGATTTTTATCCTGTCTGTGTTCTTAAACTTCTACTAAATCTATGTACATCTACAACAAGATGTATTTTTCTAAGTATTTGAAAATTTTGTATTTCACATTTGTTTTGGGTTTTTAATTCATGTGAATTTTTGCATATGATGTGAGTTCAGGATCAAAAGTGTACATAATTTTGGAGAGACAGTTGTCCCAACATCCTTTTATCGAAGTGCATGCTTTCTCTCCACTGAATGAGCAAACAGCAAGGTTTTGTGTATTGGTTCTGTTTCTGGGGCATTTATTCTTTAATTCCCTTCCGTTTGGCCTACACCCACGTCTCAAATAAAACTGGTCTTCTCAGGGTCCCTGATGATTTCTATCTAGCCAGATAGTTTGTATTCTCATCTTGACTGCCTTTTTTTTTTTAATTTATTTTTTTTTATTTTTGGCTGTGTTGTGTCTTCATTGCTACGCACAGGCCTTCTCTAGTTGTGGCGAGTGGGTGCTACTCTTAGTTGTGGTGTGTGGGTTTCTCATTGCGGTGGCTTCTCTTCTTGTGGAGCACAGGCTCTAGGCACGTGGGCCTCAGTAGTTGTGGCTCGCAGGCTCCAGAGCACAGGCTCAGTAGTTGTGGCGCACAGGCTTAGTTGCTCCGCAGCATGTGGGATCTTCCCGGACCAGGGCTTGAACCCATGTCCCCTGCATTGGCAGGCGGATTCCCAACCACTCTGCCACCAAGGAAGCCCCTTGACTGCCTTTTTTAAAGTTTCGGGAGAACTGGCATCCCTCTACTTCTTTGCCTCTATGACAACCTACTTCTGCTGGCTTTCCTCCTACCATGAGCGCTGCTTCCTTTCTGTCTCCTTCTCAAGTGCCTTCTACTCTATCCAGTCCCAGCACAAGCTCCTCCTTCTCCAACCCTTCTTTGGCTTAAAAAAAAAAAGTACACAAATGATACACAAATACGTTGTTTCCAAAGTAGAGAAATGAAGCAAGGCAGATCCATAAGAGGAACATAAAATATCCCTTTTTTTATTACTCATCACCTGCTTCCCCAAAGAGGCACATGGACTGTTGGGTGTGGGGGGCTGAGGATGTGAGCTGCCCCACTATCCACTCTCCCCTTTATCTTCTGTAATCGAACCACCCAGAAGTCAGATTACACTGAAATGTAAAGGTTTTGCTTCCTTTAAGTAGGGTTGTTGATTAATCAGACCTGGAGTTATTTTAGAGACAGCACTGCATGTGCAAGATGGGAACCCACATCTCCAGGATGAGCCTGGAACCAAGAATCTTTAGTCTACGGAACTCAAAGAATAGAAATGTTGCCACCGGAGCCCTTTACGAAGCCAGAAGTCCTTCAATAAAGAAAAGTCAGCTTCCAGCAGCACAAGTAACTTGATTACCATAGATGGACTGATTCCAGACTAGCCAATCAGCTTCCAAGTTTGAAATTCCCCTAACCGGTTAAATTTCACCCTGGACTCTGGATAGGGGAGAGAGAGCTTTGAGCCCTGCTTCCTGTCCCCTTGCCAGTCGACCTTGCAATCAAGCTTTCTTTTATCACGAGCCAGTGCCATGGTATTTGCTTCAATGCATGCTGGGCAGCAAGCCCTTGCTGGGTAACAAGGTTTCCCTCCCACACAGCTGTGTGCAGCTCTGTGACTGAGCTCTGGCTCATGGTGGAGAAGTTCAATTTGTGTGTGCAACTGCAGGGATGTTCCCTCAGAGAAAAAGACATGCCCTTCTCCTCATCTTTGCTCCTTTCTACTGTTTGGTTGCCAGAGCCAGAGCAGCCCCCTGGGACCCTCCAATACGTGGGATTTTTTTCCCACACCAAGCAACTTTGCATCGCCAGCTGGGAGTTCTTCAGTTCAACTCAATGCTGACACTATTGGCGTGGAGATGGAGTCAGCTGCCAGGAGTCAAGGCTCAGCCCCACCAGACTTCATATGCCAGTTCCAAGTGCAGCTTCTCACCTGTGCTTCTGACCAAGAGGCTGTGAATCGGAGGTTCCTACAACACCCTCCTCAGTTTCCATTAACTTGCTAGAGCGGCCCACAGAACTCAGGAAACCAGTTTACTTACTAGATTATCGATTTATTATGAAAGAATAGAACTCAGGAACAACCAGGTGGAAGAGTTGCACAGAACAAGTTATGTATGAAGGGGCACGGATCTTCCAGGCTCTCAGCCACTCTCCCAGCACCTCCATGGGTTTACCAACCCAGCAGCTTTCTAAACCCCGTCCTCCTGGGCTTTTAGGAAGGCTTCATTACGTAGGTGTGGCTGATTAAATCATTTGCCATTGGTGATTGAATTCAATCTCTAGCCCCTTTCCCCTCCCCAAAGGTGTGGATGGAACTGAAAGCTCCAACCGTTTAATCATGTGGTAGGTTCCACTTGCCCCCAGCCCCCATTTTTTTTTTTGGCTGCATTGGGTCTTCATTGCTGCATGCCGGGTTTCTCTAGTTGCGGCCAGTGGGGGCTACTCTTCGTTGCGGTGCACGGGCTTCTAATTGTGGTGGCTTGTTATGGAGAATGGGCTCTAGGTGCACGGGCTTCAGTAGTTGTGGCGTGTAGGCTCAGTAGTTGTGGCGCACAGGCTTAGTTGCTCCGCGGCATGTGGGATCTTCCGGGACCAGGGATCAAACCTGTGTCCCCTGCATTGGCAGGCGGAGTCTTAACCACCACACCACCAGGGAAGTCCCTGGCCCCCATTCTTAAGTGCTTTCTGGAAGTCACCTCATTAACATAAACTCAGGTGTTGTTGAAAGATGTTTGTTATGGATAACAAGACACCTTTACCTGTCTTATCCCTTAGGAAATTCTGAGGGTTTTAGGAGCTCTGTGCCAGAAAGGGGGACAAAGACCAAATACATATTTCTTATTATAAATGACAATATCACAGACCCTAAAGTGGGAGCTGCCTATTGAGGGAGACAGGAAGACCCAGAGATGCTGTTCCAAACCCATCCTTGTATATAGGAGAGGAATGTGAGTATTGTTGTAAACCTTTGTTATTTGGGATTTTCTCTCACACCCAAAATTGACCTAGCTCAAGCTAGACATCCTTTAGGATCTTTATTAATAAATATATCTTTTCTTTTCCATGAATGAATTCATGTATGGGTCTGTGGCTGGCTTTTTTTTTTTCTTCTTTGCGGAGCACAGACTCTGGACGTGCAGGCTCAGCGGCTATGGCTCACGGGCCCAGCCGCTCCGCGGCATGTGGGATCTTCCCGGACCGGGGCATGAACCCGTGTCCCCTGCATCGGCAGGCAGACTCCCAACCACTGCGCCACCAGGGAAGCCCTGTGGCTGGCTTTTTTACTGAACAATACAGTACGCTCCTCCATCCTCCTCACCTCCCACATTTAATTCATTCCTACAACCTGTGGATCCTTTTAGCCCTCGCCCTCTCTGTACCCTCACTGCCGCTTCTCTAGTCCAAGCCACCATAATTTCTTTCTTTCATTTTTTTTAACAGGGCTGGGTCTTTGTTGTTGTTGTTGGCCGAGAGGCTTGCGAGATCTTAGTTCCCCGACCCGGGATCGAACCTGCGCCCTCAACAGTGGCAGTGAAAGCACTGAGTCCTCACCACTGGACTGCCAGGGAATTCCCCCACCATAATTTCTAAGTGTTGCTAACTGATCATTCTGCTTCCACTCTTGCCTATAGGTAAAACCAGTTTATTCTTCAATCCATTCACCTTGTGTTCAGGATGATTTTCTAAAAATCACAAGTCATGTCAAGCCATATTAAAAACCCTTCTGAAAAAAACAAACAAACCAACCCTTCTGTACTTCCTGTCCCATGTAGAATGAAACTGAAGCCCTTTAACAGGGCTACGAAGCTGGGAGAGATTTGCTCTGCCCATCCTCTGACTCCCATTTCTTTTTAACGTCATCGTGTCTCTTGGTTCCTTCCTCCATTGTTACGCCCTTCGCAGACTCCTAAGTCATCTGGAGCATCCTTTCCACAATACGTGCCCCACTGGTGCCTTATATCTGCTACAATGTCACCTCCTTAAAGAGGCTTTCCCTGGCTAGCTTTGCACTCTGTTTCCCTTATAGCCCTCATCACAATTTGTAATTTTATATGCATCTGTTCATTGACTTGTCTCTGCCTCTCCTGCTGGACTGTAAGCTTCCAAGACCAAGGACCCTGTTTGTTTCAAGTATCACTCCATCCTCAGGAGCAACCAGAGATCCAGAGACACAGAAGGCACTCAGAAAATACTTGTTAAATGAAAGAACCCTGACTTAGAGTTAAGAAACCTTGGTTCAAGTACCATCTTTACTGCTTACAGGCCGTGCCACCTTGGGGAAATCAATCAACTTTCAGAGCCTATGTGGAACATGGGGAAAATGAAGCCTGCCCTGGTTATCTCATGGGGTTGATGTGAAAATCAAATGGGATGAGGTAAGGTAAAAATTTTAAACTCTGAACAAATGTGACGGGTTGATTTGATGTTGAGGTGAGGAAAACTTATGTGAGAACTTAGAATGAGGACCTACTTTCTCAAATACCTGTATGTAAAATAGGCCTCTGCAAACCAGTCTGTCCAAGGCCTTGTTAATAATTAATAACTGTTCATTCCTGGTCACTTCCCCCAATTATACAGCTTGAAAAGGAAGGTTTTCTTGGAATACAAACTTTAGCACTACTTACGCCATCAATCCCAGTAAATGAGTCCTTTTGAATTAAGAATGAGGAGTTTAGTGGCAGCTGCTAGTTGACAGTTTTTTGCTAAGAACAATAAAACCTCAGCTCTCTCGCCCCTCGATCTGCTTTGCTTAGTTTGTTGGTGATTGCTGGGGTGTGGTATTTACAGAAAAGTTTAGAAAAGTGCAGGAGGTGGCCTGTCCTTTCGCATTGGATGCCTACGTGGTGTAAATAATCCTCTTTTAATCACAGTCTAAACATGGTCCTAAAACAAGATGTTTGTGCCAAAAAGAATTCCAGGAGGCATTACCCTGATGGTGGGGGGTTTGGAGAGGGGAGTAGGGATGAGTGGCTTAAATAATAGAATCATCAGCCCCACTGGGCTTGGGCAGGGGGTGGGGTGCACACTTTTGTTGTGTGGATTACCAAAGAATGAATTGAAACTTCACTTTTCCTTTTAATAATCACCTTACTCTAATAGTACTTTTGCCATTTAAACTATAAAGAATGTGGTCCTGTTTTCTCCCTTGCAACACATCTATACAAACACATTGGATTTTTAAAAAAATATTTTATTTGGGAATAATTTTAGATTTCTACAAAAGCGGCAAGGATAGGACAGAGAGTTCCCGTATCATCACTTATCTTCCCTAATGTTAACAACTTACCTTACCACAGTACATTTGTCACAGTTAAAAAACCAATATTGGTACATGATTGTTATCAACTAAAGTCAGTGCTCTATTCAGATTGCCTTAGTTTTTACCTAATGTCCTTTTTCTGTCCCAGGATCTCATTTGATTGGGGTTGTTTTTTTGTTCGTTTTGATTTGTTTGAATTTTTCTAAAATTTTTATTTTACATTGGAGTATGGTTGATTTACAATGTTGTGTTAGTTTCAGGTGTGTAGCTACGTGATTTAGTTGTACATAAACATATATCTATCCTTTTTCAAATTCTTTTCCCACTTAGGTTATTAGACAATATTGAGTTCCCTGTGCTATACAGTAGGTCCTTGTTGGTTATCTATTTTAAGTATAGCAGTGTGTACATGTCAATCCCAAACTCCCAATTTATCCCTGCCCCCCACCTCCCCCCGATTGGGATTGTTTTTACATCAGCATCAAAAAGTCATTTTTAAACATTTTAAAGTAAAACCATAAACTTAAAATCAAGGAAACCTTTTTCTTTTGGGGAGAGTGTAAAGTTGCGGACTTACAGGTCTTTACCAGGAAAACCATTTCTATAATTATTTAATGTTGTCTTTCCAAATTCAGATTGTGGGACTCCAGCTAAAGATACTCTTTAAAGGAAAGCATGAATATCTACCCAAAGGACCCCATGTAGAAGCTGCTGTTGGTAGTGGGGTAGGGAGAAGGGGAGGAGACTTGGTGCCTTTGCCCCTAGTGGAAAAAGAATGTGCTGGAGTCTCTGCCATCTGGGTAAGTAGGTGAAAGTTACTCAGCCTCAGTTTCCCATTCTGTCACATGCAGGTATTGATGTTTCCACGGAAAGCTGTAGTACAGGTTATATGCAAACTAAATGGAAGCTTTAGCAATATGCCCAGCACACTAGGACTTGGTAGCCATTACTGTTATTCTTTTATGTTTAAAGAAAGAGAATGAGGCACATTGGAAATGTTTACTTAGTGGCTGCTTGTTTCAATTTATTGCCCCTGAATAAAAACGTCCTATAACATCACTGTCCACAAACACACTCAGAAACATTGCTCCCTCTGCTCTTCGTGGTATGTCTTTCTGGAAACAAAACAGTATATGGTTTCCTCTTCCTACCCCATAAATATAATACCATGCTTCAAGACTTGGGGCAAATTTCTCCACAAAACCCACTAAATGCTGGGAAAAGGGGATAACCGGAAGATCATTTGTCATGGTGATTAAAGGAAGTAATGAATATAAAATGCTAATCCCCACATCTAGCATGTAGTATGGTCTGAAATAATAATAATTAATAATAGCTTTTCTTTGAGATAGTGGCAGTGAGAATGGAAAGAAGAGCAGAAAATCTACTGAGGACTGACATACCAGGACAGGCCTTAGAGGGTGAGCCCTGTATGGGGCAGACGAGAGAGGGAGAGGTCAGGAGTGGCACTTGTCTCTATTTTTTTTTTTTTTTTTTTTTGATATCATGATTGAGGGTCCACCTCTGCCTTTGATTTTTTTTTAACAAATTTATTGGAGTATAATGGCTTTACAATGGTGTGTTAGTTTCTGCTTTATAACAAAGTGAATCAGTTATACATATGTTCCCATATCTCTTCCCTCTTGCGTCTCCCTCCCTCCCACCCTCCCTATCCCACCCCTCTAGGTGGTCACAAAGCACCGAGCCGATCTCCCTGTGCTATGCAGCTGCTTCCCACTAGCTCTCTATTTTATGTTTGGTAGTGTATATATGTCCATGCCACTCTCTCGCTTTGTCCCAGCTTACCCTTCCCCCTCCCCATAGCCTCAAGTCCATTCTCTAGTAGGTCTGTGTCTTTATTCCTGTCTTGCCCCTAGGTTCTTCATGACTTTTTTTTCCCTTAAATTCCATATATATGTGTTAGCATGCGGTATTTGTCTCTCTCTTTCTTTGTCTCTAATTTTTGAGCAAGGGAGATGAAGGCATTCATGGAGTTAGGGGAAGACTTGGGTGGGGGGTTATTTATTGTTGTTTTTTGGGGTGTTTTTGTTTCTGTTTCTGCTTTGTTTGAATGGAGTGTTGCAACTAGAAGACTTGCCCTTGGTCCTGGGCATGTGGAATTTAACAAGTTCTTGGGACATCCAAGGGCAGATATCCAAAGACTGCTGCTTATCTGGGTCTGGAGCTGAG